TCAAATCTGTTCCTGAGATGATTCTGAAATTCAGGTGGTATGAAATCAAAGTCATATTTTGGCTCCTGTGGATTCGGTTTAATTTTCCTCAGCTTCAGCTTGTGAGTGAGTACTACTTGCATGTGAGTAGTTGGTGGTCTGTTCCACAATCAGCTCCTGGCCTAGTTTTCACAGCTGATATTGAGCTTCTCCAGCGGTTTTTTCCACAGATGTAATCGATCTGATTCCTATGCATACCATCAGGTGAAATCCAAGTGTATAATCTACGTTTATGTTTATGTCTCTTAAAAAACATATTTGCAATGAATAAGTCTGCACTGATTGTGCAAAATTCAATTATATATCTCAAATCCAGTTAGGCAGACTTTCTTATGATTCAAGATTTATAAACGTTTATATGAACATAAGACAAAGTGAAACCTGCCCTGGGTGATCAAAAGATAAAATAACGCAAGAAGAAATGGTGGAACTATGCCTTGCCAGCTCCAACCAGTGTCAGTCATTAAACAAGAATCAAACTAAAGTTGGACTGAAAACTTTAGACAAAAGGGACAGATGCCAGAATCAAAGTACAAACAGTATTTTAGCCAAGGGGTTGGCTAATCAAGAATTTGGAAGCATACACACATGTACATAAACATACAAATACTGCAATTGTGGTGGTGGTGGTGGTGGTGGTGGTGGTGGTGGTGTCTGTTCATGTTGTACACATGCACATAAATATATACATAACTAAACTAAACCAAACCCACTGCCAATGAATGGATTTCGACTCCTGCCACCTTTTCATCACTTTCTGAGGCTGTAAACAAGAATAGATCGCCCACTATCTTTCTCCCTTTGAGCAGCTGCTGGATTCCAACCTCCAAACAGGTAACAACACTAGCCACCCCGGGCTCCTTACATGCTAAAAAAAAAACAAACAAAACCCAACCAAAAAAAACCCCAAAAGTCCAAACAAATAATACACAAATAATATGACTTGAAGTAAAGGAGTAAAGTGGAAGCGGAGAAAAAAAAAACAAACTCATTAAGTATTTATGAAAGCATGGGCTCTTGCCTAGCTATTTCGATGGCTTAAATCACCTTACTGAACTCATCAGCGTTAGATCACTTTAGCAACAACTGCACAAGGCCAATCAATCACCAGACAGTCACTAAGCGGGCACTTAAAACAGCACTCCATTACAGAACAACTCTGCTCCCATACGTGCATCATAAACGGGAGAAACAGAACCTCCGGGAAGTCTCACTCTCCCAACTGTGGGGACCCCAACAGTAATTCGCGAGTCTTTGGAATGAAACAAACCCTCTGGCCAGGGTAGTGTCTTCTGACCACTTCCGAATTTGTTCTGCCACCCACCCACTTAAAGCATTATATGTTCTGCAATTTCTGTGGGAAGAGGATGACAAGGCATCATCGCGCTAATACTTTATTCGCTCTCCTAAAGGACGCTGGGTTAGGCTTCCACGGCCGTGACACAGCTTTCCCCACTCCAAGGACGTCCTGCGCGAGGCAGGCCAAACGTTCCTGGGAAGACTGCAGTAGCGGTCACTGTGGCCACCTGTCCCAGGCTGGAGGCGACAGTGGCTCTAAACGGATGCTCCCTCGGGCGGAGGAGTCGCCTGACTATTCGGTGATTCGGCTCTACCGCCTTGGCCAGGTTGGTTCACCTCAATGTCTGGGGGGCGGAGAGGAGGGTCGCGAGATGCTAGAGTCCCCCAGGCCCAGCCGGGGCTCCCGGGCCAAGGCCTTCTCTCACCCGAAGCCGCGGCCGTGGGAGGAGAAGCGGGACGCGCACCCAGCCCCGAGTACTCCCAGCTCCCGCCTCCTCAGATTTCGCCCGGAGCTTACCAGAAACCGCGTGGAGCTGGTGCCCTGGTCCACTGACCCTACCAAAGGGCCCAAAACGGATTTATTCGAAGATGCCATAAATCCAGCTTCAAATTGCCCGAGGTTCGCGAGCCGTTTCCTGGGTAATGGCAAAAGGAAGGGGGAAGAGATGGCCAAGAGAACTACAGCCAGGCAGACCGCCAGAGGAATGAACACTCAAACCTCTGCCAGCGGCCCTTTTACTCGCGCCTCGACTTCTCACCCCGCCCCTCTGGCCCAGGCTCCACCCCCAAAAGCGTTCCGCCGGCTCCGGAGGTGTGGCTGAAGGGGGCGCTGTCGCCAGGAAGCCAATGAGCGAGTGCAGACAATGAGGGCGGAAGACGTCACGGGGGCGGGGCCTGGGAGGGGCTCAGGTAGGCCCGCGCAAGCGGGTCACGTGGGAGGGGTGCCCCTAGGGAGCCAACAGCAGAGCGTGCCAGCGGCGGAGGGGGGTGGGTGCTACCTCCTGGCCCGGAGCCATGCTGGCCGACGAAAGGGCATATCCCCACCCGCACCCTAAAGCTCGCATCCGCCGCCAGGTCCCAGAGTGCATGTTCTCTTTGGTGGGTTGTATGGAGTCAGCTGTGTGAGTGAGTTACTGAACAGTCTCACTGGGCTACACCTTCCCACGCTTCTGACGCCCCACCCACCTCCCCGCATCTCACCCCTGATAATAATATAATAATAGTAATGTCTTCCACCGAGACTGACCTCAAGTGGCGTCACCTTCTGGAGCAGCGGGAGGCCCTCATCCTTGATAGGAGGAACTACGCAGAAGTTCTGTCCTTGTAGCAATTAAGGGAAGCGCTCAGAATCCAACTTTACAGGTCATTCAATGACCCATCCTGATAGAAAGTTTCTGTCACCTCTGTCCTTAAGCGCCCTTGCTCCTTTCTTGACCTCTGGTCTCTCCTCCCCTTGCACACCATTTCCTCTCCCTCCATGGACTGCTTTTACTTCAAAGGGAGGAAAAAAAGAGATTATCCCTTGACCTTGAACCTACCTTGCCAAGCTCCATGTGGGGCAAGGATTTGCAAACTTTGGAATAAGAGCCACATTGAAAGGATAGCTTACAAAATAACATGGGGAAGGAATGTGTGTTTTGTATTATATATAAAAATTATGTGTATTATAATCTAGAAATGCATATGTACGATTATATTGAGAAATATATCCAAAATAATCATTCTCTTCTTGCTGTGCAATCTGTATTTTATAATAACTTTCAAAATACAGGTTGAAAAATCATAAAATTGACTTAGTCACCATTCTATTTTTTTTTATTTTAAATTCTATAATTTTCAAAAGTATTTTCAACCTTCTCTTTTCATTCTATTGCCTTTCTCCCAATCTCTTTTCAGTATACTGGAATATCCTTTTAGGGTTTTCCCCCCTCTTTCTCCTAACCCTGCACCCCCTCACTTTTCCATTTAGGTGTTTATAGTTTTGCAATTATTCTAAATGCAAAATTTCCTAAGTTGTGCGCAAATAAAGTTCTGACGTTCCCAATGAGATACTGGACTTGATAACTTGATTTAACTTGCTTGGTTTAGTGTAAAAGTGCAGATGAGTATATCTAAATTTTCTGGAGGAGGGAAAGTAGGCAGGCATCTAGTAGGCAAATGTAAACGAATGAGGCCAATTTGCCTTCAAAAACTGTGAAAGGCATTAATTGTATGAATGATGCAGGTAAAGAATTCCTTTATTCAAAAAAGCAGTACAAAGCAAGCCACTATCAATCCATTAAAAAAAAAAAAACACCAGAAAACACAAAACACCAAAAGCCCAAAATATTGACCATGTTTGAACTCTGACACACTTTTGACACTCAGATTCTAACAGGACAGCAAATTATTTCTTTAGTGGTGTAGTAAAATCAGAACCCAGACATTTCACTCTAATCAGGGTTAGATGTTATGAGAGATATTCTTATATTTATTGATCCTGTGGTTCTTCTGACAACATTCTATATTCCACATCCTCATGCTGTTCACAGAAACAAAGCTGAATACAAAAGTATTCAGCTCTGCCAGAAAAGGAGGGGCCATCTCCTCCTGTACCAGTCAGATCCAATTTGGCGGTACACACACACACACACACACACACACACACAATAATAAAATAAAATTTTTTAAAAAAAGTATTCTTTGAGCTTGCAGTAGTCATACTCACGTAAATCTCACTTAAACAACAGTCCAGCAGGAGGGTCATAAATGGAAACTCGACTCTTATCTCTCATCAGTTTGAAAGAATTCCTTTTCACCTACCCTTTCACTTAACTGTCAAGCCCCAGCTCCCATCTGAAACAGCCACTAGATATTCTGACTCCCTTTTTCAGACTATCAGTGGCAGAGTTTAAAATGGAGAGCTCTGGTAGCTTGGTGGGTAAAGAGTTGCACTGCCAACACAGAGGCAGGCAGTTAGAATCTGCCAGCTGCTCTTTAGGAAAAAGATGACCAGTATCCTCCTGTGTGACTCACAGCCTATGTGGAAACCCACTGGAGGGTCTGAAAACCCACAGGAGGGTCAGGCATGAATCAGTTCATACTTGACATAACAATAACTGAAGGCATCTGAAGACCAGAGAGCATAAACCACTTCTCTAAAACCACCTAGCCTCCTGAGCCAGGACCAGAATTTCCATCTCCTGATGTCAAATCTTGTGCCCTCCCATAGCAGCATGAGGGAATGGAAGCAGAAGGGAAATGGATAAGAAGAAAGAAGGTAGCTCTGATCTGTTACAGTGTTCAATAGAAAAAAGGAGAGGAAAAAAAACCATAAATGGTCTTGCCATTAAAGAACTAAGATGCTGGTCTTCTTCGATCTCTGTGTCTTCCACTACCTTCCAGATCTGAAGACAAACAATGGAAAAAACATTGGATTGGAAAACAAAGACCTGGGTCTGATCTTGGTTGTATCATACAACCCTTGATCTTTGTGACGTTCAGTACCTTACTTCCTCCCATTGCTTCCTTTTGCTCATTTGTAAAATAGGGGAAATGTCATCAATGTAGATGGGTAAATGTGAGACTTGAATGACGTAATGCCTGTGAAAGTACAAACAACAGCACAGTTAATCACAGACAAGTCTGTTTCCAGGAAAAAAGCTCTGAGGAAAAGACTAAGGTCCTTAATGTAAACGATTTAAGGCATTTGAGTCATCAAAAGCTCACTGTGATGATTTATGACTGGTAGAACAAGAAATAAATGTTAATCCCCCTTGGAGAATCTCTTGGTATTTTACTCATTCTTCTTCTAGTTTTTCCTGTTCTTTATTACTTACATGGAATTTATATAAGTAAAAGGTCTACATTTCCATAGGGAATCTTCTTTCCTTCCTGGTGCCCCACCCTACTAATGCTGCTTAGTCTTTTCCTAGTGGCCTAAAATGTAGCATGGGCTGGGTTTTTTTTCCCCTTTAGTAACTGAAAGGCTTGGAATTTGAACCCACCCAGAAGCTCCTTCAGAAATAGCACTGATTATCTGCTTCCAGAAGGTCCCAGTCTTGAAAACACTGGGCAGTTCTACTGTGCATAAATGGGGTCACCATAACTCAGAATTGATTCCATGGCACCTAAAAATGACAGTCAATTTGGAAAGCAAGTTGTTGTTAGCTGCCAGGAGTAGATCTTCCCTTTCTTCTTATTGAGTGCCATTAAGTTGATTTCAACTCAAAATGACACTGTATATAACAGATTTAATCCATGTCCAATGCTCCTTTAAACTGGATTGTAGTGTTCACTATGCCAGTTTTTTTTTTTTAATTTTTTTTTTAGGGAAGCCGACTATCTAATTTAATAATAGTAGACCAAATGCTGTTTCAGGAAATGAGGGAAGCTTGATACAAACTGAAGGCCACCTAGTGGCAATGGGGCTTAACATTGTTCTTAGTTTGTGTCAAATGAACCCCTCCTTCTTGAGATTAGCATAAAAAGGAACTTGGCCTTATCTGTTAAAGACTTCACCATTATCCTTTGTTTTTGCTTTGTACTTCCTTCTGATTTTACTTTGCTTACCTTCCTTATGATTCTAAATAAATACTCAGAGTTGCATGGCTTGGGGCCTTCAGTCATGGGAACTGTTGGCCCCCTGTTTTTCACACTCTCTGTTCTATATCATTCCTGGTAGTCTGTCTCATTATTAATAATTATAAAATTATTTCATTCTTTGGGACCCTCGGTCTGCAACATTTTTTGTTGAGGGTTTTCCTCTCCCCTGACCCTCCATTTTTTTTCAAACATGGTATTCTTTTTGAAAGACTGCTCCCTCCTGATAACATGCCCAAAGTATATGAGAGGAATTTTCAGCATACTTTGCTCTAAAGAGCACCCTGGTTGGACCCAGCAAAGCATTAAGATTGCTGTTGGAATGAGTAAAAAGTGGTACAGAAGCATGGGAGACATGTCTGACCTCATGAGAATTGGTTTTGTGTTGTGGCTGTTGCCGAAGGAGAACATTCCACCTTGTGGAATGGGTGGAGATCACATATGGCTGTGCCCAAGTGGATTTTGCTCCTTTCACAGGTCTTGACAGTCATTCTTTAATTTTACCTACATCAGAATCACTTGGTAACTTTGTTAAAACCCAGGTTTCTGGGTTCTAATCCCCGAGTTCCTGGTCTGAGACTTTTATAGTTTTAACAAGACTCCAGTTAATTTTTCTGCTCCTAGAAAATCCTCTGGAGCAGTTCTGCTCTGCATGGGTTGCTGTGAGTCAGAATCAGCTCAACCATAACCAGCAACAATGTCTGGCATAGTATTTGAATGATAATAGGTGTTCTATAAGAGATTATGTTAAATGAATGAATGAAGGTGATGGATGTTATGGAGGTGGTGTCTGAGGAATCATGCTTTCTGGTACTTATGCCTTTATATTGTCTCTTCCTACAGCGGCCCGGCTTGGGCCATTTGACTTGCATGGCCAATGAAATATGCAAGCATGATACAAGCAGAGATTAGATCTTTCCCCCTTTGAACCTGGGTTCCATGCTATAAGAAAGCAGCTCGAACTTACTAGCAGATGAAAAGACAAATGGAGGAGAACTAAGGCATGCCTGCTGACCACAGCCAACCTCAAGATATATTAATTAAATGATCTTGGATATTT